AGTGATCCAAATCGGTGGTGAGGAGGGTGTAGGAGGCCTGGTAGGGCGTGATCAAGGGTAATGTAACCAAGAGGAATTGCTGAAACCCAGGTGGGGACTGAGCATGATAGTGGGACAGGAGGAAAGTCAAAGGAAATAGAAGAAAGAGCTGGGAAGCAAAGGGCATTTATAGAGGTCTAGATAAAGGCATGTACATATGCAAATATATTTATGTATTAGGATGGGGAAATAGATCTATGTGTATATATTTATAGGTTTGTTATTAAGGTAGCAGAAGGACATTGGGCCTCCACTCAAGTACTCCCTCAATGCAAGAATATTTTCTTCTATTAAATTGGCATTCTATGATGCTCACCTTCCCGACACAACTGCTGAAGACAAAGCGGGTGAATAATCAAATGTGGTGAAGAAAGCTGATGGTGCCCAGCTATCAAAAGATATAGTGTCTGGGGTCTTAAAGGCTTGAAGGTAAACAAGCGGCCATCTAGCTCAGAACCAACAAAGCCCACATGGAAGAAGTACACCAGCCTGCGTGATCACCGGGTGTCAAAGAGATCAGTTATCAGGCATCGTCAGAACAAAAAATCATATCAGTGTGAATGAGAGGGGGAGTGAAGAGTTTAGACCCAAAGCCCATTTGTAGGCCACTGGACCCCTTACAGAAGGGTCTCGGGAGGAGATGAGCCAGTCAGTGTGTGATGTAGCAATGATGAAACATACAACTTTACTTTAGTTTCTAAATGCTTCCTTCCCCGCCCCCACAGCCCTATCATGATCCCAATTCTACCTTACAAATCTGGCTAGACCAGAGGATGTACACTGGTACAGATAGGAACTGGAAACACAGGGAATCCAGGGCAGAAGATCCCTTCAGGACCAGTGGTGCGAGTGGAGATACTGGGAGGGTGGAGGAAGGGTGGGTTGGAAAGGGGGAACCGATTACAAGGATCAACATGTAACCTCCTCCCTGGGGGACAGACAACAGAAAAGTGTGTGAAGGGAGATGTCGGACAGTGCAAGATATGACAAAATAATAATTTATAAATTATCAAGGGTTCATGAGGGAGGGGTAAGAGGAGAGGGAGGGGAAAAAATGAGGAGCTGATGCCAGGGGCTTAGGTGGAGAGTAAATGTTTTGAGAATGATGAGGGCAATGAATGTACAAATGTGCTTTACACAATTGATGTATGTATGGATTGTGATAAGAGTTGTATGAGCCCCCAATAAATCAATATTAAAAAAATAAAATAAAATTTGGGTTAGACAAATCTACAGAGACAGTAACTAAATGAAGGGTTGTGGGAAGATGGGGAGGTAATGATGGCTACTTGGAATCAGTCTATAACCCCCTCCCAGGGGGATGAATAATGGAAAAGTAGATGAGGGGTGATGGAGGACGATGTAAGATATGAAAATAATCATCTATAACTTATCAAGGGTTTGTGAGGGAGGGCAGGCGGAGAGGGAGGGGGAAGAAATGGGGAGCTAATATCAGGGGCTCAAGTGGGAAGAGAAGCTTTGAAAAGAATGATGGCAGCATATGTGTAAATGCGCTGACATACTGGAGGAATGTATGGATTGTGATAAGAGATGTATGAGCCCCCAATAAAAGTAAGATAAAAAAAAGATGCCAAAGGCAAACACTTATTTTAGAAGTTTGCATAGTTGGTCATCTAAGGTACAATTAGTATGAAGTGTAATAAAAATAAATTTAATATAGAAATCCCCCCCAAAAAAGAAAAATTGTTCTAAAATTGATTGTGGTGATGAACGCACAACTTTTTAATTTATTTAAGTCACTGAATGGTATGGTACGTGAATTACATGTTAATAAATCTGACTTAAAAGTTCATGGGAAAATTCCATTATCTTTTCATTTTTCTCTGAACCATCTGAAGCCCCATCATATTCTTGGGTAAGCAGAACTCTTAGGATTGAACCTTAGGTTTAGCCACGCCCATCTGGTCACAGAAAGCACTGAATCAACACCCCCCCCATCCCCCACCCCCCCACCCCACCCCCGGCCTTCCCCATCTGCAAGCTGACCTTGTACAGCTCAATGAGGAACCGTTGCTGGCGGCTTGGATCCAAGAAGAAGGCAAAGAGACAGGGACCAAACTTTTTATTCCCCAGCTCACTTACACATCAGGAATGTCTGTTACACATGGAAGAAAACATCAGGGTTGAAGAAGAGTTTCCCCAGTCATCAGTCAGGAATTTTATTTTCATTCATTCCTACAACCAAACAGTCCATGTGCTCCTACAACCAAACAGTCCATGTGCTGCTGCAACCATTTTTGAGTGATCTTCAGTAAAACTCTCTTTGCATGTGATATCAATGATATTGTTCTGTAACTTGAGCATTCTGTTGGGTCGCCTTTCTTTGGAATGGGTAACACATATAGATCTATTCCAGATAGTTGGCCAACTAGCTCTCTTCCAAATTTCCTGGCACAGATGGCGGAGTGCTTCATCAGCTTTGGGAAGCATCTCAATTGGCATTCCAGCAATTCCTGGAGCCTTGTTTTTTTTGTTAATGCAGTCATTAGGGCTTGGACTTCTTCCTGCAGTGACATGGTTTCTTCTTCCTATGTTACCTTCTGAAATAGCGGAAGGTCGACTAGTTCTTTTTGATACAGTGACTGTGAATTCTTTCCATTTTCTTTTGATGCTTCCTGCATCATTCAACATTTTGCCCATAGAATCTTTCCGTACTGTAACTTGATCTTGATTTTTTTCTTTAGTTCTTTTAGTTTAAGAGATACTCATGCGTTCTTCATTTTTGGTTTTCAAACTCTAGGTCTTTGCATGTTCCATTATAATATTTTGTCTTCTTGAGCTGCCCTTTGAAATGTTCTGTTGAGCTCTTTGACTTCATCATCTCTTCCATTTGACTTAGCTACTCTGTTATCAAGTTTCAGAATCTCTTCTGACATCCCTTTGGTCTTTCATTTCTTCCTGTCTGTGTAATGGCTTTTTGCTTTCTTCGTGAATGATGTCCTTGATGTTCTTGATGTTCTCTCACAGCTCATCAGGTCTTTTGTGATTAGTGTTTAATGCATCAAATCTGTTCTTGGGATGTGCTCAAAATCCAGATGGGATATTCTCAAAGTTGCATTTGGTGGCAGTGGGTTTGGTTTTTTAATAGGAAGTTTCTTGGTACTCCCTGAAGGTTTGCACCCAAGGTGAGGGTCTCCTTAACCTTACCCTGGCTCCAGTCCTGGTTTAAAAATAAATTTGTAGACAAATACATAAGCAATGCTTTATTACGTGAACAATTACTAAATAAGTACTTAGTTGAGGGAATGGGTGATACAATGGGAAGTACCTGGGTAGGTAATTTGAAGGGCTCCACAATGGGAGATCTAAGCTTAGAATGAAAAGTGAAGGAAGAGCCCACCATGGACTGTTTGGGGACATTTTAATGAAAAGATCTCAAGGTAGAAATGAGCCTGGGGTTTTCAAGAAACATACACTGAAAAGGGTAAGCTTCAGGGTCAAGAACAAGGTAGGGGGGTAATATTCGGCAAGGACAAGGTAGGGGAGTAATACTAGATTCGGAAAGAGTGTCAAGAAGCATTAAAATGTTAGGCTTTTTGTCAGCAGGGCAAGGGAGCAGTCGAAGGATTTTCAGCAGTAGAACAACATGATCTCATTGATCATCTGACTCACTCTCTCCAGCTGTTGTGGCAAGGATAACTTACAGGTGTGTGGGCAGGGGAAACATTGAATCAGGGAGACATACTAGTGTCGCTGGGGTGATAACAGCAAAGCTAGAGAAAGGGGACGGGGGAAGCCCCCGAAATATCTTAGAGCTAGAGGTGACAGGGCTAGATAAATTAATACAGAGGATGGAGAAAAGCGAGGCATCAGAAGTGATTTCAGGTGTCTTTGCTAAAGTCATTCTGTGGTGGTGGTGTGATCATGGAGATAAAGAAGATGACATGTAACCAAGTTTTCAATTTGGGGGATGTTTGGCTTGAGATGCCTGTTGGGCAGGCTGAGTAAGCAACTAGTATGCATTAACTGAGGGGGGAGGACAGGGCTAAAGAGATGACATTTTGGGGGCGGTAGTCTCCTGATTGAATTTACAACATGGTGACAGAGAAATAACCGGGGAGAGAGCCGAGTGGAGATGGTTAGGAGGCTCTCCCGATAGCCTAGGGAACAGCTGTTGAAATGGCGAGCTGAGGATGGGGAGGGAAAAGCATAGGTTCTAGAAGACAAGAGATGGGCCCCGGGCAGTGGATGGTCAACTGCATTCAGAGCCAACCTAGACTTCTGAGAAGTCTAGAAAAACGTCAAGATGGAGAAGTGAACGGGCCTTGAGGGCATGCCCATCTCGGGTGAGCTGACAAAGGCCATCTTTGCTGTGGAGAGGCCAAAAATCCCTGTCACGGAGTGGGTCGCAGAGAGCATGCAAAGTAATGATATCAAGGCAGTTTGTCATTATGGCCACTTTATCGTACTTAATGATTGCATTTTTATTCATTTCAGGTTTTAGAAGATTATCTCATCCAAAGTCTAAGCCAGTAGGATTTGGTTACAGGGACGTTGAAGCATAGAGATTCGGCGTACTCCTTTTCAAATCGTGCAACGCAACGCTTCATTCAGGGTGTAGCGCTCGATTTAAAAAATCTTCCACGCGGCCACCTCCCTGGTAAAGGGTAAAATGAGCCGGTCTGTTTGGGGTAGTCTAAGGCCAAAGAGGGTTTCTCCGCGGGCCAGCAAGGCCCCGCCCCTTTTCCGCAACCTGGGCCCTCGCGGCGTCCAG